AGTTGGGAGGTGACACTGGGTATTTTCTGAGCATTTTCATAATATTCAACAAGTAGAGTCATCTCTAGATGCCAGTGTCCCTTAAAAGGTTGGTCCCCAGAGACAATCCCATTTTCTTTGCCCAAGTTACAGCCCTGCCTCTTACGTTCTTGAACTTTTGCTTTATTCCAGGTGTGAGGAATTCCTGTTCTGCCATTTCCTCCTGGGGGAAAAACAAAACCCACTGACCAAGGCAGGACATTCTGGAATGAGAACCAGTGGCATTTATACATTTACAGACCAAATGTATACACTAATTTCTCCATATTGTTTTTATCTAAGCAACCACTTTTCCCCCTTTCTATTGCTGCTTTTTCCTCTTGAGAAATCTCCTGTACTTTTCCTTCAGTGTCTACACAAAAATTCTGTATAGTACATATTTATTGTTTTCCATTCTTGTACAGGCAGTGAACTATTCATATCCCACAAAACAAATGTAAACAAAGCAGTTGATATTTCACGAATGCTATTGGTTTTGTACATAAGAAAATTTTCTGCTTGTAAAGGAGGAAAGATGGTGACAGGTTTTTATGTAAAATACAAACGCAAGAATAGGCAATACCTTTATAGACCACTAAAAATCATCATACAATATGGATGAACTCTGGCATCAGGCTTGGACAGTGTGAAGAACTTAAAAGTCCAAAAGTTCATGACAGGATAGATTTTGCCAGGTACATCTTTCTTAGATGTAAGTCAGGAGATGTGCAGGAAGCAGTATGGTTGCTGTTTTAAAGTTATAGCTGAGGCAATAATTTTATGTGCTTCCAATAAAACAGTTTCATATCACAGGCTTCAAAAAAAGGGGGGGGGAACACAAGAAAGGATCAAAGGCAGGGCTTTGGGTAGATAAAGCTGTATATTAGCTGTCCCCGCTCAACCACCAGATAGATTAAGAAGGCCACCTCTTGGGAAAAAATACTTTATATTATACTGCCATAGAGTAAGTGGGACCAAGTGTCTCCTGTAGCACATGAAGCTGTCTTGGGGACTATGTTCTAACAGTTAAGCACCTTCTGCTGCTCTGCCTTAGGCAGCAAAATGACTCCATCTTCCTGTTTCAGGAAGCAAAAGAAATATAAGATATAGGTTTTCTCCCCTTGAAAAATCTTCCCCCAGGAACTGAGAGGCACTCGGGAATGGTGCAATGGGCTTTAGTTGGAGTACACAATGACAAACAAAAACAAAACAGAAATCCTGCTTTAGTGCAAGCTGAGGAAAAGTGTAAGACGCCAACTATTTTGTGTTTCTCCATCAGTGGTTGCTGGTGTCCATTATGGTTGGTGGCCAGAAAATATGTGTAGAAACTCAAGGACAAATCTATTCCAAAATCTGCTTGAGGAGGTTCAATCTTCATTTGTATGGCAAACCTTTGGATACAAGTTGGACTGAACAATCTTCACACACTGCTACCTATAACTATCAGTGATTGCAAATACATGCAAACTGACATCTACAATTTAAATTCAATTTGCTGGGGTAAAAAGGTGTGCAAGATATTCCTTCTACCCTCATTTTTCATATTGTGGTCTTATCACATATTTTCATATTATGGCCTTATCACATCTTTTCATATTGTGGTTTTATCTTCACACATCCAGATTTAGGGATAGGATACATAAGATAACCACCTGGCAACACTGAGCTGGAGTGTGTGAATAAGTTACAATCTGCCTACTCGGCTGTCCCATGGTGAGCTGAAAAAATAATAGATCTAACACTTCATCTTCACTGTGAAACTTGCAACATTGCCTCGCATGGCCAGCCTTGTGTTAAAATCATGATTTATCTCTCCTCACATGAAAATTTATATCGTCGGCCTACAAATTGTTTGAGTGATAAGTGGGATGCTAAAAATAATCTGCCATTGTGAAATGAGTAAGTATACATAGCAGTAACACACACAGCGTTCGTTTTGTCATTTTTGTTTATAATGGGGAAAAGGGAAATTGAAGAGTTGAAGTACAATAATAAAGTATTCAGGTATTTCATAATAGACAAGGCCTAGAACTATTTGTAAATGTTTCAGATGAGAGTATGGAGATGAATGAAACAGGACCAAGGAAACTAGACTACATTGGTCATGTAATAAGAAACAAAAAGTATGGTTTGTTGTGGCTGGTGGCTCGAGGTAAAATAAATATGAAAAGAAGTCCCGGATGGAGAAGAAGTGGTTGAAGAACCTTGGAGACAGAGATTGGATTTAACATTAGTGACAAACACTGAATTGGATGGCGGGCAGTCGTCATTTTTCACCACACAGGAACACATGTTTCCCAGTTTGTTCAACATACAAAACTGAAGCATCCATTTTCTGATGCTGAGTATTCTGCTCCCTTTGCTGATGGCCAGTTAGAGTGGTCAGTACCGACCTCTGAAGGCCAGGGCAGAAAGAGACATGAAAACAGTTTCATTACTGGGGGCAGAACTTAAGTAGGAATAACATTTGTTATTCCTACTTAAAATGTTTGCAGCTCCAGAAGATGCAAATCCACCTACATTTTGTTCAGTGATAGATCTTCAGGAAATAAGCACAGAATTCACCAGCAGGATGACTGTGCAGGCACAAAAGCTTTGAAGCAATATATACTGTATTTGGAGGGACAAAATGTTATCACATTTAATTGTAAGAATAGTGCCTTCTCTGTTTTCATCCTTACTACCTGTCTTCCAAAGAGAAGCTAATATTGATTAACAAGAAGCTAGCAATGAAGGAATCCACACAAGGATTTTGTGCTAGTTCTCTCTGTTGAATGGTGGCATCATCTTTTGCTATTATTTTCATGATTCACATAAAACATACTATGTCATCATTAATCATAGAAGATGTGATTGCCCATGGCTTGGCTATTACTTTTCAAACTGGAGTCAAAAGAGCAAGAAAACATATAGCATGAGAAAATGCACATTTAGATGTCTGATTGTGCCTTGTCCAGTCTTCGTCAATTAGTGGGAGCTGCAGTTGTGAACGCACATAGCCACCACCATCAATGACAGAAGGAGATGTGTGTTTCCTTTTATTTCTGTCTACCTGCATTTCAAATGAAATGTGCTTCAGGTCTGCATTGGTGCCTCTTCTACCACAGGGTAACTGATCTGAGGGAATATAAACTACCTGCTTGAAATGTCAACATTTCAGTGTTGTCGTCATCTTAGAATTGCAGAGCTAGAAGGGGCCGTATGGATTATCAAGTCCAGCCCCTATTAAGGAACACAGTGAGGAATCAAACTCCTAACCTTTGGCACCACAGTAAGATACCTAAACCACTGAGCTATCCAGCAGTGTTATAGCACTGTAACAGAATGAACTGGTCTCATTTCCATGGGTCCCTGTGTCCACTGGCCCAGACAAGCATGGATATGCTCTCACCCAGTGTATCTGTTCAATTACATTACAACAAGAGAGGAGAGGGGAAAAGTTACCAGGAAAAATTTTAACAAGGAGGTTAGTTGTGTCCATATGGCATTGCAAAAAATAGCTGTCTTTTCTTGTTCTTTTTGTATGATTTTTTTAAATTGTATATATTGTTATGTGGGGTCTGTGGGTTTTTTAAGCTTTAACTTGCAAACTGCTCAGAGTTGTGTGTGCACTAAAGGGTAGTATATCAATCAATCAGTCAGTCAATAGTGCATCCCCCCCATTGTCAGTGTCACTGTAGACAACCCCATGGCAGTCTTTTTGCATCAGGATAGGTGATCACACATATTAGAAAGTGGAAAAAGTCGATGTCAGCTGAATCAGAACAAAATAAACCATCCGCAGTATGCAGAACATAAAAGAGACAATTACCCAGTGGCTTCCTCAAACTTAGTTTTAAAGGGTGTAGCAGCCATTTTTACTTCAATTTTAACCATGTCAAATCCAACACAACCTGCTGGGTAAATTGTCAGTGTAGTTCCTCCCTAAGCATGCCATGGAAAGGGGAAGCTTTTACCCCACAGAGGGCCTCTGAAAGCTCCATCCCATATCCACCATTGCTCTAGCCTTTGCCAGATGCAAACTGAGAAGAAAGATGACTCACACCTTCAGAGGCATGACTCATTCTTTCTCATCTGGCTATCTCTGATACTTATAATTCCATTAGAACTTGCCAGGCTATGTGTGGTGTTTAATTTCTTGATTATATTGTCAAATTCTACCTGTCCTTCTACTGTGAAATTGTTGTTTAGAAACCAGATAATCACACATGCTTGCTTTCGGTTCTACTTTTCCAGGGTTTCCTTATAACCCATTATGTGTTTATTTTTGTCTTCTACTGTGAAATTGCTGTTTAGAAACCAGAGACACACATAATCACACCTGCTTGCTTTCGGTTCTACTTTTCCAGTGTTTCCTTATAACCCATTATGTGTTTATTTCATTTTATTTGGAGATCTCCTGTGTAGAAAATAAAGAGAAGAACCTGAGTAGCTTAAACTCTAATGTTGAATCCAGAAATAGAAGAGAGATGTTAGAGGGGAGAGAATTTCTACTGAAATTAAACTATTCAGCACTGCACTACGTGCATCAGATGAAACATTTCACAACTAGAGTTTGTTAGTTAAGGGCACAACTTAAGAGTGCTGAGCAGCAGCTAGTAAATGAGCCTGTGATTGCATTCCTAGTCACTCATTGAGTCACAAATCTGGCACATGACTGGGAATTCCATTGGGAATCCATCACATAGTAACTATTTGCTGCTCCTAGTTACATCATTCCATCAGACTGGCGTAAACATTGTACTGGATTCTGGCCACTGAATCAGTAGTTGGGATTAACAACTGGATGTAGTCCTATGAAAGTACGTTGAATTAAGGAACAGGTACAGTTTTCCATACCTTCCTTATATGCCACTCTATGTATTTCTCTGCTACAGATAATCTGTACTTTCAAGCCAGTTTACAGGCTGAAAGTCTCTGTGGAGGACATAGTGACTTCTACAGAACTAACAGGGGGAAATCATCAAGTAGCTCAAGTCCCTAAAAAGAAGTGTCTCTAGCCTTGATATATATATATATATCAAGTACTCTGTATATTTAATGGTACTTTATATAAGAAGTTTCCAGGTGCTGCCTATAGGTTCCAGTACTGATTGGATAACTGAGTGAGCCAGGTATCTGGCTATGGAGCAAGAGTCGGGAGCTCAGTTCCCCATTGTGCATCCTAGAAAAGCTAGCCTTTGTAGCCTTGGTTAAGCTGCGCAGCCCCAGCATGCCCCCAGAAGAAGGGAACAGTAAACCACTTCTGAGTATTCCCTACCTGGAAAATCCTAGAAAGAGTTTCCATGCGTCATAATTGACTTGATGGCATATGATTAGTATTTATTAATTACTGACTCGGTCTGTAGTAGGTAGGTAGGTAGGTAGGTAGGTAGGTAGGTAGGTAGGTAGGTAGGTAGGTAGGTAGGTAGGTAGGTAGGTAGGTAGGTAGGAAAGAAAGAAAGAAAGAAAGAAAGAAAGAAAGAAAGAAAGAAAGAAAGAAAGAAAGAAAGAAAGAAAGAAAGAAAGTTCTAAATGCTGTGTGTAGTCCATATTGTAGCAAGATATTTTTCATTAGGCCTATTGCCAGAAGAAACAACTGAAAACTCTTTTCTCACTGCAGACCTGTTTGTGACTACAACCTGAGGGCAAGAAAAAAACAGTTGTCAATGACCTCTACTCTTTGGTCCACAAATCACCAAGGCATTCTACAGTAAATGGCCAATGTAGAAGAAACCTACAATTACCATTCTAAGCTGACAGTTAATTAATTTTTGTAGCAGTTGGATGCCCTAGAGCTTCATGTCTGAGTAAGCAGATTCTGCAAATGAAGCCCTTGTTTAGCTCTCAA